CTTAGCGTGATTTGCATTCACTTCTGATTGTGCCAGGGAGGTTCTGATGGAGCTCCTTGCTTCCCTGCAGACTCCCTCCCAGAGTTCATGTGTCTCAGGAGTGGCTTTTTTAGGGCCGGCAAGGGGAAGCTGCTAGATCGGGGCAGGAATGCCCAACATGCATGTGGAACTGTGTCCATGGTGTACAGTTAGTGTTCAGGTTAGGGTTCGAATTAGGATTAAGATTAGCCCCAACCCTAACCCTTCCCAGTCTATTCATACCAGTGTCTCCATGGTTTTTACTTAAGTTGGGGTGGAGCGGATGAAGACAGGAATATTGGGGTGAGACTGATGTTCACGAATATCCTACATGTGTTGGAATTCCCTATCCAGTCATTACTGTGTCTCTTAATTCATACAAAGCTACTTTGTGAATCAGAGGAAAACCAGAAGTAGCAGTTGCCCCTCTTCAGCATGATAGGGGCTAACCTTTCAGCTCGGATGAGCGGGAATATGGGGAGGGAAATGAAAATGAATCTTTGAGGAAAGCAAACCATTTCTGAATGGAGGCGAGTGGGGTGTAGGAGAAGAGACTCTTTTCACATACCCCAAACAGCGTTTACATCTCATGACTTAGCCTGTTTCTGGGGCTGTAATGAAATACTGTTTTCCTAATACCCTGCGACCTGAATTTCTTCCCGCTTTATAGGTGCTATTCCTTGACGTACAAATCAGTATTTTCTCAAGTCAGCATTTGATGATGGATGTCAAAATACAGACCATGCATTATGCATATATAGCATTACCGATTTAAGGTGTTTACTTGTCAAGTTGAAGGAAGTCAGAAACTTCGCATTCACTGAATTCACATAGCTGTCACTTTCGGTTTTTCATAATTTCAAATAAAAGTTGTGATAAAACAGTTTAGGTTTCCTTCACTTTTTTCTGAAGGAAGAAAATAGACAGCATCTAAAATTCATGCTATGGGCTAGAAAGCGAGTTGGAAAAAGGAAGTTCCTGGAGGCTGGAAATCAGGCTGGTTTGCCCAGCTTTCTTCACCCTGTCACCTTTCCAAAATAATGGATTTCATAATAATTAGTACTTATGTAGCCCTTTAGAGTGTTGAAAGTGCTTCACATTCAAAGACCCGGATTCTTACTTTCCTTCCATGAATGGAAAAGGAGGTCCCATTCATGGAATTTATGCCAGTGGGGTAGGAGATTGTCTCAAATGAGACAGTGGATGGAAAGGGGAGTTGACGGAAATTAACTCACACTTACACAGTGGAGAGGAGCACCTTGCACCTTCTTGTGGCCCTTGCAAAAACCTTCTGAGGGAGGCCAGCCTGACTCTCCCCATATCGTAGACTGTAGACTGCGAGGGTGCGGCTTGCATCTGGAAGAGCCTTCGTGGCAGAGGAATGCCATGGCAGATTCAGAATGAGTCGGAGCTCAGTCTCTTAGCCAGTATGCGCAGAAAAAATGAGGTTTTTTCCAGCTTTACAAACCGCAATGAAAGAAATGTCAGGACAGAGATATGGACAACGTGTGTGGCATATGCACATTTATTCATGTATTGATGTCCTGTTTGTTAACATAGGGCTTTTTCCATCCTCATTGATTAGCACTACTGGCATGAACCAACAGTAGACAGTATGTCCCAGTTACTGTTCTGTGGAGACCGTGCCTTCCTCCATAGAAGCAGAGCAAAACAGCAGAGCTGATGGTGGCTCTTTGCAGGGCCCCGAAGAAGGGACCGTCTGGAGAAAGTGCTGCCATCTTGAAGAAGTCCTCTGTGGAAGAGGTGGCTCGAAAGATATGGGCTGCCTGATGCCTGCCTCTATGTTTCGTTGCCCAAAAGTGCACCCGTTAGTCCTAGTTGAGATGTCTATGTGGGAATGGTGATCGATGGCGTATGTGTGCAAATAAAGAAAGTGGACAGGAAGAGGGGAGAGGCATTCCTGGCTCCATTGTGGATAGAGTAGGTCCGAATGACTGGATAGAAGAGAAGAGAAAGAGCGAGGGGACAAACGTATTTGCATACAGTCACACACACACACACACTTTGGGCATTTTCTGTGTATGTGATTTGAAATCACAAAGCTGCTGACAGTGTGTCTCATAGAAATGCCATGCATGTGTCAAACAAATGAAGGAGAGTGGATTGGAGTAGGTGAGGTGAGGCTAAAAGCTGATTTGCTCCAGTGCGTAGGACTATAAATGCTCCAACACATTTATATTGTAGTTATATTCTCATTAGGAACACCAAGGACTAATTAGTTCTACCTTGGAATGGCTTGGGATCCCTGCATAACACGGCCTATTATTTGAAGCCTATTTTCACCCTGTTTCCAGAGACTTTCCAGCCCTGCAGCTGGGCAAACAGTGCAGCCACTGAGGTTGCGATTCAGCGCTGGGCTGGAATACTGCAGCAGAAGGCCTGCTAGGAGGCCCTGCCATAGCCGTAAGCATATCCCCACCATGCTGCCTCAGTGGCAAGCAGCCAGGGTGCTGGACCAGTGGCCGTGACCCATGGAAATCCCCAGGTTGGGTCAGAAGTCTGGCGGAAGGGAGCTTCCACATGTACCACATGTGTCAGGCTGCTATCTGTCCTGGAATGTAAGTCTCTTGAGTTCTCCCCTCTGCCCCCTCCCCCCCAAAAAAAGTTCTACACCAAGGTAATAATTTCACTTGCCAGTTTTATCCTCACCCTTCCAGAGTGTTTCCATGACTGCAAAAGCCATGTCAGTAAACCAGTCAAAATGGTACAATTCAATGTAGGACCGCAGGAGTAACCAGATCAAAAGGAGCATGAAAGGTACACAAGATATATCGGGTGAAAACAACGTGCCTTCAGCACTGAACAGATGGAAGTGTGGATTCCCACCAGGCTGGCCTCTGGGAGAGGAGGACAGCTGCTGAGAAGGTCCTCTGCCTCCAGTGGTGGAGGACATGGGCAAGGACTTCTGCAAAGCTCATTCATTCATTCATTCATTCATTCATTCCAAGCATTTCTATCTCAGCCTATAACACAATGTCTGGGGTAGCTACAAGCCCAAATAAAAACAGCTGCACTCCAATGGCAAAAGAAATCAAGAAATAGATGGTATGAATGCAGCACAAAAGGAGCAGAAATATCAGAATTTAAAATCCACCAGAAAAGAAAACCAATCAAAACATCAAAATGGCAAATACTGTGAAAGGTATTTGTCTCCAGAAAGCCCTGGAAAGGTTCTGTCTCCAGTTCGCACTTTCCTTCTTAAAAGGCTCGATATGAACTTAGCAGAGTGTTTTCTATACAAAGAGGTCTCAGGAAGATTATCACCTATGTATGTTTATTTGACATTGGCTAATCTTATCTTCTGGAAGGCCCGTTTTGTGTAGGTTAAAGGCTGATAATTGTAAAGCAATCTCAGTGTTTGAAACAACCACATTCTGTAACGAACTGAGCTATAAAGATTGTGAATAGTTTTGTTAACATTTGCAAAATGCATATGGAAGCATAGATGAGAGGGACAGAGAGGCATCAGAACAGCCATGCGGGGTTAGTCCAAAGGGCCTATCTAATCATGTATCGTGTTTGCGTATTGATCAACCAGATGGCTGTTGGAATCCTGCAAAAACAGCGTTTTGAGTTTGGCTCAGAAACAGAGTTGAGCAGTGATGTTTTGAACTGAATATACTTTCCAGATCATGTCCAAAGGCAGGCAAACACATCTCTAATTTAAACTGAAGCTTGCCACAGAATTCATAACTGGCAAGGTAATCTCAGTGCAGAATGGCCTGCAGTGGGCACACCAACGGAGACTGGTGGAAGGCGTTCTCTGCCATGAGAACCGTTGGGTTTCTACACAAAGAGCTTGATCAGTGAGCCCCGGACAGCTAACTTGTTCCTTCAGGAGGGGGTTGGGAACAGCCACATCCGCAACAGGTTGAGCGGAGTAGAAGATCCACCCTTGGCCAGACCAGCACCTCAGGAACAAAATGCTGGAACAGCACATAAAGATTCACGTGGAGTTCATTCTCACAGGCTGAGAAACTGGAGCATTCTTGGGACTATGGTGGTACCATGTAAATCGGGAGGGCAACATGTCCTACAGATGTTGCTGGAATGCAGCCTAGCCTATAGAGAAGGATGGTAGGAGTTCAAGAACATTTCATGGGCCACTCTCTTCCCACACCTGTTTTAAAAGAACTTCATCCTTTGATTCCAAAAAGTACATTTCCCCCCACCCTCCTCCTCCTTCTCCTCATTATTATGTATCAATGGTATGCTGTACATGGAGGGAGGCTGTATGATCAACTTGACTATAAGATACTTTTTAGATGCGCATGCATGTTGTATATCTATCACTTAAATTATGAGGCACAGGGTCTATAGTTCAACTGTTTGGCCCAGTTTGGTTTCTAACGCATTATGCTGATAGTCAGAAATTAGTTTTTGCCATCTTTGCACCTGAAATAGTTCTCAGGGTCAGATGGGATGAGACATTATTTATGCTGCTAGCAAGTGTGTGAGTCATTGTTGTTTGTTTCAGTGAATAGCAGGTACAGGGGACATAATGCAGATTAGGAGGCTTTTGCTGCTGCTGCAGTCCTCATCCGGATTCCCACTCAATCCACACTCCTGGAAAGCTTCAGCTGATGTGAATGGGAACTCTTCTTCCATTGCAAATAGCAGGTGTACAAGGGAAACAAGATCAGGTTCTCAGTGAAGGGCAAAGGGTTAAAGGACCCTAGCCCAGTCCTCTCAAGTGGACTGGGAGTACACACACAAGCCCTTCCCATGGCCACAGGACTGCTCTTTACTTTTTAAAAGCCATTCATGTAATTGCTAATAGGAACAGTGCCTCATTTAGTTAAGCCTTCAGTTATAAAGCCAATGAGCTATGTTTGATCTCTGTGTGTTTTCCATTTAACTAACAAACCCCCATGTGTTCTGGTTTCTGTCCAAGTCTTCTTGCTTTGTAACTTAAGAGTGCTAGTGTAAAACCCATGATTTGTGTGATGTCTTCTCCCTAGGGTTTTCACCACCAGGAATGGATCGGTCATCACCAGACAACAGCCCTGTTCATGGCCTCCTACGTCAACCCTCCATTACGACAGGAATTGATATCCCTATTATAACAGAATTAGGTAAGAGAAATGCCCTCTTATGATCATTTCCATTCCTATTCCCTTTTCCTTTTCACCAGCCTAGGGAAAGAAGACTATTTCCTAAACCCTTCATGTGACTTGTTGGTGTGTGAAAGGAAGCAGACTCCCTCCTTAAAGCATCAGCATGACTGGGCTTCCTCTTTTGCCTGGGGACAATGCAGAACACACGGGTTGGTCCAAAAGACAAAAACCCATTGCACTGATGGGAGATGGGGAGAACCAGTGGATGGACTGGGGGCCACTGGCCATTACATTACCACAGCACCCTGTAATGCCATATCCCAGGAGCATTGAAGATGCCACAACGGACTTTGGAGCATGCCTCGAGCAAACCAGGAAGTCCCATGGGGTTCCCCCTCCCCTCCTTCCTAGTTGGGACTCCTGCGGAAACGCAAATCACTTTGCTGGCTGCGTCTTAACTGGCAATATTTATGTGTCAGTACCTTGTCTCTGCACGAGCGGATTAAGCACTGGCTTGTGCTGTAATAGTGTAGGGACAACCACCATGGACATCACGGTGGCAGTTTGCTTGTCTCCATTTTGGCTGTGCTGTAAGACTGGGACGGTTTTCCAAGCATGGAAGTCATTCTGTCTCTGCTGGTAAAGACAGGCTCACTTTGTAGTCCTTTTGCCCCTTTGCTTTCTTTCCACTTCGTGTCAGACCTTACCTGCCTTCCTCCTTTACTCTATTCTCTTTCTGTGCCTTCTCCTCCAACCCTACCCTGAATCTCCTCCTAAACACTTCACTTATTAGCTAAGCCTGGCAAACTTCTGCCTTTGGTTTCAGTCAGTCAGGAAAAAAACAGTGGAACTCACATTCTAATGATAACTGAACTGGGTAAGAAGTGCCTTTTCCTTCACATCAGCTGTCTTTTGTTTTATGGCTGCTTCTGCTGTCATCGGCTTTCTCGTTTATTTATGTGGCTGGATCAGAGAGAGCTGCCCTCATAGCATTGCTTTGAATGTGTTTTATTTGTGATTCCAGCTGAAATCGACTGTCTTGTTCTGGCTTTTCTTAATGATTTTTCCCCCACATTGCACCATCAGTAGATCTTTGATCCTACTAGTCTGACCTGCTGGCTGTTTCCATAGCATCTTCACACCAATTTTCATTTTTCTTTGGTTTAGATCTCCCCCTCCCCTTTTCTTTTCTTTTTTCTTTTTTCTTTTTTCTCTTCCCTTCCCTTCCCGTCCCTTCCTTTTTCTTTTCTTCTGACCAACTGTCAATTTGACTGACATGTCTTAAAAGCGCTCAGAAAACTCAGAGTAGAAATAAAAACAAAAACAAAACATTTTAGCAGAGGAAGGATGCTAAGAAAGAAATAGCAATATCACACCTTTCTTTTTGTTGTTGGTGGGTTGGTTTCGTGGCCAAGTTTTCACACAGAAACTCACAGTTTTGCTGCCCTGGAACTGGCTAAGCTCCTAGGCAGGCTTCCTCAGGAAAGTGTGATTTTGATTAGCACTTTCTATGATGAAGCTCTGGACTCTTAAGCCAACCTCACCTGCCCCCCGTCTGGCTGAGAGACCTTTCACAGAAATCCCAACATGGGAACACAAGCCAGGAAGATAAAACTATTGAGGTCTGAGGCTGAGATTTACCCTTTCGACGTCCATATGAGATTTTGCTGTGACTCTGAAATTGTCACTTCATAACAGGTGGAAAAGCTTTTGTGGCAGGCATTAGCCCTGTGCGAGTTATTAGCCTTACACGACTGCCTGTGGTAAGTGGAATATACAGCTATGTCGAGGATTTGCTCCTTGGTTTAATTTGCTGTTTGAGGGAGGGCCCCATCTTTCCCAGGGGTACAGCGCAGTGGCTTCCTCCAAGCACTGTTTGCTCCACACACACGACAGGAGGAAATATTGGAGGCTTGTTCAACAGAAGCACTTTTCCTATTAGAGGAACCCACTTTTTATATTCATTGACTTACAACAGAGCAAAAAGGGGCAGCATTGGGGAGTCCAGCTTGAATCCCCGCTCTGCCAACAGTTGGACAGCTGCTCTCGTCTGGAATATTGTGCGGAAGTCAGGCTGAGAGGCGGTGGGGCCAGGAGCCCTGCCTGTGATCTCGGCATGTGTGAAGCATGACTGGGGGTTAGAAGATGAAACATGGTCAGCAACAGCAAAAGGACCTTATCCCATTTCTGTGCATCTCCCAGTAAAAAGTGAAATAATGTATAGCCCAGTAAACATGTGGCTATATGTTATTTTGGCAATGCAGATTTCAGGCTCTGGAGTCCTGCTCTGCCTTGGGATGCATCACATTACACCCCCAATTTATAAAGGCATTCGGCCCATAACAAAAGAGCAACTTTCCACTTGAGGCAAGAACTGTGCAGAAAAAGTCATATATAGGTTGCCCCCAAGTCCCTTGAGTTCCCCACATCCAAGGAGCCTTAATCTTAAACACCACCCTCCCTTCACGTCCAGTGACACATGGCAAATGCTTTTGGAATTGAGGAGAGTTGCAAAAGCAGTTTGCAATATGGCACAGTTGTCATCTGTTTAGCAGGCATTAAAAAAACAAACCCTAAAACGCTTGATCAGAGAGGAACAAGCTGCTTAAAGAGAGTGAGCAGCTCTCAGTCTCTGGCCCCAATGTTAAAACTTCAGCTAACATTTTGAGAAATGGGGCCAAATACCTGGCATCGTCACACCCAACAGCAGCACTCACAGGTTTGCCAGGGAGATTCTGTGATTTATTCAGTTTTTAGGACAAAACATGCCCACTATGGAAACAAAATAAACCTGTTAGCAATATGGGCAATTCTACATGTGCAAGGTACAGCGTACCCTTTTCAAAAGAGGCTAAGCAACACAGACTTGTTTTATCTGACATAAGAACCATGAAAGGGGAATGCATGGACTGGGTGGGGCCTTCCCAAGGCACAGCTGGACTATCCCTTATGCTTGTCATAGGAGGACTGGGACCCGATGAAGGGGAATGTTTTGGTCCTGATCCAGCTTCACCATCCCCTCCCACCATGCCCCAGTGGTTGAAAAATAACAAAAACACGATGTGATGCCAAACAGCGTGAAACAGCCCAGCTTGCCTAGGTTGACCTTAAATTCATTGAGAAGAAAAGAAGGTGGCATTTGTTGGCCTGTGCACTGAGTGTGAGCTGCTTGCATGCCATTGCACAAGGGCTGGTGTTCCACATGATTGTGAATCCTGGGACTTCACGAGCACATAGAGCTTTACGCACACCTTTCAGAAATCACACAGAAGGTTATCTGGAGGTTGGAAGTCACATCGGGGCCAAACTCACATGGCATTGTCCCAGTCCCCTGCTGCTCATTTCGTCCACACATGGAGGCAAACACAGGTCTAGTATATGTGCTCCTTCACCCTGTAGGTGGAGGCTCTGAGGTGGATCAAAGCAAGGTTCCTGTGCGTAGAAACCTAGCCTACTCAGAGCAGAATATGTCTCCCCACCGTAGTATTCTGTGTGGAGGGATGTCAAAGGGCCAAAAGGGCAAGTAGGTCAGCTGTTATTCGCAGACCTGCAAGATCACCACATTGGGCTGGACACAGGATTTTCTCAGTATAAAGAAGAGCTCGTTGATGTGTGCATACCTTCTAATCGATACTTGTAAGTGATAATCGAAATTCTGCATGTTCCCAGTGGAAACTCAGTCAGACATTAGGGCCGGGTTCTGTAGTTCAGGGCAGCATCTCCATTCCATTCTAGCTGTCACCCTCCCTGCACTTCTCCTGTTTCAAGAGCTGCAGTCCACTTTCAGGTCAGATTCTTCAAACTTTCCACACCAGGACAGTCACAGGAAGAGAGGCTTTTGCATTCCTCTGAGCTTACAGAGATTGCATTCTGTGGGGTTCCTCTGGTACAAGGCGGCAGTTGCTACTCTGGTGAGGCTGCCCTCACTGCAAGCAGTGCCGAGAAATGTCCCACCTGCCACTTCTGCTCCTTCACAATACTCATCTAGAGATCAAACTGGGAACCCCCCCTCCATGGCCCAGTGCATTTTTTGCATCCATGCTAATTCCATTCTCAGAAATGTTCTGGACATTCCTTTGTCATGGACACACACACTTTTCTTCTCCTCCTTCCCACATACCATGCAATGGAAACAACCGGCTGGCACTTGGAAACAACCTTTTCTTGAATTGTTTTCCTTTCAGTGAATGATTCGAACGTTCAGTTTCTGGACCAAGATGATGACGATGACCCTGATACAGAGCTGTACCTCACACAGCCGTTTGCCTGTGGGACTGCCTTTGCCGTCAGTGTGCTTGACTCCCTCATGAGTGCGGTAAGGACCTCGTGTTCCCAGGAAGGTGGAAGCTGCTCTTTCAGTCACAGCTCCTCAGTTCTGCGATGGCCTTGTTGGGATTGGCCATTCTGCAGACCATTCCTCTCCCGGAGCTCTTGAGGGGAAGAGGAGAGGGACTGTCAGAACCTGTGAAGGGCAGGGGAAATAGGCAATATCTAGGGATAATTGTATTTATTTGATTTCTTTGCTGCCTGATTAGGTTACACACAAACAGTGCCGTAAAGCAATACAATAAAATCAACAAGTCCAACCAAACCAGCAACAATAATAAAATCAATAAAACCAACCGAAGAATAACAACTAATAATAATAATTTAAAAATAAATAGATAAATTGAATAATTTGAGAAGGGGAAGCAACATAAAACAAATTTACAACCATAGTACAAAAATAATTAAACAATTCATTTAGAGGTAAAGTCATAATAATACAAATGATAAAAATTCTAAAGTTACAAAATGTTGAAACAATACATGAAAAGCAAGCCCCAACACATTCGCGACGTGCCTGTGAAACAGATCCATGTTCAGCTGGCATCTGAAAGAATATTGTGTTGGAACCAGCCCTGTCTCGGGTGCGGACCATTCCACAGTTGGGGTGCAATGACAGAGAAGGCCTCCCCCCTGCCCTCCCCCCTCATTTTCCGTGGGGGAGGAACACAGAGGAGAGCCTCAGATGCTGCCCGCAGGGACTGGGGGGGGGTGCGTGTGGAGACAAGCACCCCCGCAGATAGCCTGGCCCCAGGATCATACAACTGCCTGCCTGGAGGACAGCCAGCCAGCCCCCCAAATCCCCTTTCACCTTCAGGATGGCAGTGGGCACCAACAGAGGAGTCCATTTGAGAATGGCAGCTTGAGCACCTTTGTGACTCCCAGCCGAGCCCCGACCCACAAGGCTTTGCGTGATTGCAGGATCAGCAGTGGAAAGGCTGTTTGCTCCATACTGGTGGTCCAGTGGCACAGAATATGAGCTCTCCCTCTGTGCGCACTGCAGGCCACTTGAGCAAGGAGCAGACGTTGCCATGCCAACAGCTGGATCGCCCTCTGCTGCAGGGGCAGAGACTAGAGCTCATTTATTTATTTATTTATTTATTTATTTATTTATTTATTTGGGATTCTTATATGCTGCCCCATTCGCATAAGCCTCAAGGCGGCTTCCAACAAATAAATATCAATACAAATATATATTGTATTTGAGCTATATAATAGGTCTTGTCCACATCTGGGTCATCCTTCGGACCGTGTGATGCCTTAACTGCCTTTACTGGCTTTCTGTTCACCCACAGATTCAGCATACGGTTATTCTATGGCCTCGGTCTTCCTATCTCTTCCTTTCCACCAGACACACCTGTGGCCTTCAGTCCTCCACCTCCTTCAGCTGTCCAGGGGTCTCCAGCTCCCTAAAACGCTTTCCTCATGGCTGTAACGGACTCCCAGAATTCCCCCATGCAACTGCCTCTCTCATTCCCTTTCAGCCGTTCCTCACACCTCACCTTTTCCAGGAAGCCTTTGAATCAACACCCGTGGTCTGTGTCCCCTACCTTATTGTAACCAGGCCTCAAGTGATCAACATGGCAAATAATTGGTGCCATCTTTAAATGCCGGCTAAGGTGCATATGGGAAAAGACAATGATTGAGATGAAGAGGCATAAAAGACCATGGAGAATTACTAGGTCTGATGGGAAGGAGGGCGTGGCATGGAAGAGCAGACCATCAGAGAAATAAGGGAGCCAAAGATACACCACGAGGAACGAAGTAATTCTCCAATGAGATAAATTCTCACATGTAAGAGAAACGATCTCTTACTTGAAAAAGTGTCTTCATTTAGATTTTGCAGTATGCATATTTATTTAAATTGAGTCAATAAGTCAAAAGCAAGGCAATACATCTCTTAATTTTTTTAATGTTGGTTGACAACTACAATGAAAATACAAATCTTAAGACTTTTGTTCCCTGCTGTTGAGAGAGATTATCGGGCCGTAAACCACACTCTGGTTTACTTTATTATAATATCACAAAATATCTTACAAAGCTGTGCAAGAGATTCAAAGTATAATATGTTGGGAATTATTACTCTTTCCTGCTCTGTTTAGGGTGTAATTCCTGTGATGCCGCAAGCTTTAATATAGTGATTTCAAGTCAGGTCTGTCAACAATTGGAGATCTATTATTTTTCGACTAATGCTATAAAAAAGAATGCATTCACATATCTTGGTTTGCCAGCAATAGCAACAGAAAAAAGTATTCCAAACTCTGAAAGGCACAGGAGTTTCTCTTGCAGTTATGCTATGCAAACTGCAAGTATTTTAAATGAGGCACCTATAGCACAGGAAATAGCAAAATGCCAGTAAAATGTATTGAAGAAATCTATTAATTTTCAGTTCAATTTTCTGTAAAAGATCACTTTGTTTAAGAATTATGACAGCTTTGATCATGAACCATAAGATCTCGTGATCATCACGCTTTTAAAAATAGTAGAGGAAGAACCTGGGGGAAGGCCCCAAATATTTGTGCTGTGCCGTGCTAGAATGCAGAAGAACAGGGCTAGGTGGCACTGCAAGCTTAAATATAGAGATCAGAAAAAGCTGTCCTTTACCCAGGTTATGCTAAGCCAGGGTTGTGCATTTCCTTTGTCCTTCATCCAGTGCACATTTCCTTACTGGAATGGTTGCAACAGCTGCATTGGAGCCTCTGGTCAGCATTTGCTGGTGCAACTTAAAGGTTCTTCACTAGTAATGCGATTGTCAACGGAGGAATGTAGGGCGCACCCATAACAAATGGTATGGAACTTTATCACCCTTCCAAGTTCCTTTGGAGCGTTTCCCTGCAGTGATTGGGAGATTCACACTGAATGGCTTTCTTCTTAGATCGATCAGGAAATAGTTTACAAATCAGTTTTAGCATGTGACTTTCCTATTGCATTTGTAGTCACAGACTTTAGCCAAAAAACTATTCAAATATTTGGTAAAAGTTTTGATATTTTGTTTGGCAGCAGCTACATGATCTTACATTTCAGGACATTTTCACAATCCTTTTATTTTGTTTCTTTTTGTTCATTCCTTTATTTTTATTTCTTTATTTGGTAATATAAAAACTAAATATTAGTTCCCATCCTCTCAAAGTAAATTGAATTGGGATAGCAAGTAAAATAGCTTCTAGATGAGGAGTGAGGCAAGGTGATGGTTGGCTTATTCAGTGGTTGCATCGAAGGAATTTCAGCAACAACCATTTTTCTCACCCTAGTTTAATAAGCTAGTTTTGCTCAGATTTCTTCTAACTGCTATGAAAGAAATATAACAAGGATAATCCTGGGAATTAGACCTATTCTCCCCCTGGAAACAGCATCTTTTTAGCACTGTATGTAGTCTCTGTCATATGACCTCCAATCCAAAGCACCCCTCCACATTGAAACCCAAATCATCCAAAAGAAAAGGGTATGAGCCATCGTAAGAGTCAGTGCAGTTCTGGAAGGGAAGTGGGACAACCTGAATGAATAAAAAGGATCTTACATGGAGTGACTTAATTTGTTGGTCCTGGTGGAAGTAGCACTAGTATTGTTGTTCTGTTTAATGATGTTGATTGTTATCATAATAATTATGTTGCTTTTGTTAGTTACTAAAATTTGAAAGAAAGAGAGAGAGAGAGAGAGAGAGAGAGAGTAGGGTCAGTGGCAAAAGTAGGAACAGGCAAAGGTCAGGGACCAACTAGGCATGGTAGGACCAGAGGCAGAGTCAGGAAGGAACAGAAGTCAGGGAGCCTGGTGACCTGAGCTGGAGCATGAGCACGAAGGCCAAAAATGGGAATAGGAGAGAGCCGAACTAAGCTTTGAAGTAAAGTTTGGATCCCTGTGCCCTATGGCATCAGAAAGAGGAGACAGAGTTACGAAGTGGTAGAGCAGAATGTTCCATTTCAGAGGGTAATGGGGATTTTGAATGTTCTCCATTGATCAAATACCCACCACCCACTTCAGGCAGAACCAGCACATGGGGAATCCTCGATGGGTTTGTTTTCCCTTGCAGGAAGCTTGTTAAGTGAGGATGCATTTCAGAATGGCATTCTTCACCTGTGGTATGAAGTAGTGTAGGCCATCTACCACCTTGAGAGAGGTGTAGAGTTAGATCATGCATTTCGCTGGCTTTCCCCTCCTGTTTCACATCCCAAAGAAAAAGAAAAACAAGTGGTGGCATATTGCTTGTGTCACTCACCTCATGTCAAGGTGTGGTCGGTCTGGTCATCCCGATTCATCAGTAGCAAAGGGATGGTTTGAGGCGGGTCACAGTCCCCATGTCTAGAGGGGACCAGGCAAGGAAGGCTGATATAGGAATTCCAGTGCAAGAGAACGCAAATGTCTATCGAGCCATTCTGGCCCCATGGCAAACTTTGATATGATGCTGGCAGCTTGAAGAACTTCAGCTATTTTGTGCCAGGTATCAGTCACAGGCAGACCTTCTCCGATGATGCTTTTTCCAAAGATAATTCATGGGTTTTGCCAGCAAAGGGTTGTTTGTGTGAAAGATTTGACCTGCTAAACAAATGCCAGGCTTTCTCCCCATCAGAGAAACTGGAGGAAAGGCACACTGCCTCCAATATGAGCCAAATTTTGCACAAGAGGGGCTTCTGGGTAGTCATCCAATTTTGCCCGAAGCTAAATAGGAAGCAAATGTTTTGAGCGGGTGCTCATATCAACACAATGGGCATCACCAGGATCAGCGATAATAGCATTTCTTAAAGGATTGCACTTGACCTGTCATACATTATGGCTACTTCATGGAGCATCTTTCAACCAGGCCACTGTACTTTTAAATGAACTTCCTTCCCTTAGCATCCAATTAATATTTAAAGTGCCCATTGTTTGCCTGACAGACCCACGCAGCTACCAATGCTGGCAAATGTCACTGCAGAGTAAGTCTTCCCTAATAAACTACACTTACCCTATACCCGAGAGTGTTTTAAAAGGACCAGCAGGACCCAAAACTCATCATACATTTATCTGGAATGAACTCAAAATGTTTAATTGATACATGCTTCTGTCTGAACACTGTCAAGTCTTGTAATAAGATGTTTAGCACAATACATCGGGAAGACTGCTCGAGTCCAGCCACCGTAATCAGCAATGACATCCGAAGCGCAGAGGTGGCTCCCCGATGGATTTGTGACAAGTATAAAGAGGCAATCTAGCCCGTGTAAGCTTTAAATGTGGTCTGGATTTTACAATTACATGTCCTAAAGGCTGTTATTAGACATGAAGGCAATGAGAAGGGAGGCAGTCCTTGCTTCACCACTAACACCAATTATAGGAAACATGAATGATTTACATTTTTATTCTTTAATAAAAATCGGCCCTGAGTTGGGGTTTGGGGAAAAAGGGGGAGGGGGGAAAGATCGAGTAGAAGCCTAATGGGACAGAAGAAAATAGAGTAATTGGGGGCTGCTGTCTTTTCACCTCCGATGGGAAATTATTTGAAGAGACAGCCAAGAACTTTAAACAGCAGAAGCCCAGAAAAGTTGTAATTTGGATGTCTTCAGCTGTGACTTTAATGGTGTTTGCTTAAAGGGCTTTCTCTTATCTCTGCAGACATACTTCAATGACAATATTCTCACATTGATACGAACGTTGGTAACGGGAGGAGCCACGCCGGAGCTGGAGTCGCTGATTGCGGAAGAGAATGCGCTGAGGGGCGGCTACAGCACCCCACAAACCCTCGCGAACCGGGACAGGTGCCGCGTGGCACAGCTGGCCCTGCTGGACGGGCCCTTTGCAGATCTTGGGGTAAGGCCGCGGCAGCAGGAGGAAGCGGGAAGCCTTCCCTCTGTCGCCACAGTGGACAGTGGACGGAGCAGTGGGATGCTCGGCCACGTTTTTATGCAAATTGAGTGCATGGTAAGCTGCCCCAAGATGTTTGCAGGGGACAGGATGGAAAAGCTTTTAATTGATTGATCAATCGATCGATTAATTTGCCCCTCATGAGCCAATAGACTCGCTGCAACAGACATCCAGAGCAGCAATTTGAATGCGCTTTCTTAAGCATGACTGGAGGAGGAGGTGATGCACACCAAAATGTACATGTTATTGAAATTGCATGCATGCTCAAAACAGCACATCTGGGTACTCAGGAATGTGCACATTAAAAAACTGAGCTCAACATTTGCATAGCTACAGAAAAAGGTTGTATGGGAAAAAGGTGGTATTTCTATCTGGCCTCAACAATTAAAAAAAGTTGCAAATTTATGTGGAAATAGGATGAAATGAGATTAATTGCCTAAAACCAATAGTTGCTGCAGACAACTGGTGGGGAAAGGGGAACGTCCTCGGAGAATCTTCAGCAGAACCACCAAGCTGCAACCAAGGCATTATACCATTTTCAGCTGCTTTAACCTGCCACCCAGCAAATTCCATCCCTTCCCACTGACAACAGGAACAAAGCAGAGCTCTGTACACAGAAGTCCCAGTCACTGAGGCAGCTCAGGACAAGGCAGTGGCAAGAACTTTGCAAAAGTTCTCATTCACGCTGGAGAGGAAGATGTTAGCAGCCACCTTTCCTGGCTCATTCTGTTGTTGGTGGATGAAACCATAGCTGCTGTTTCTCGAGCCCTTCCCAAAGAGGCCCATGATACAAATTGTCACTGGCCAAAACTGTGCTCTGCCTGAGAAGCAACGGGAAACCTGACAGAACATGGAGATGCTTTTGCAAATCCTCCTCTCCTTGCCTTCCTTTTGCCATTTTGTTGACATGTGGCCTTCTGCGGGGAGGGCTGCTGCCGGTGTCTCCCACCTGGTCCGAGTAGGCAGCCCCAGTTCCTCTTCTGCTTCTGCTCTTTCATTACTACCACTATTATGCCTTGGATGGATGGATGGATGATTGGATGGGTTGTGACATGTTGCTTCAGTTTGAATTGTAATGCAATTATATATTATGGTTTCTTTTCAGACTGCTTTGGAGGAGTATTTTTGTTTTCAAAAATTGTTATTGTCGTTGTTTAGTTGCAAAGTCATGCCCAACCCATCACGACCCTGTGGACAACATTCCTCCAGGCTCTCCTGTCCTCCACCCAAGTCCATCCAACCCCACGCCCACTGCCCCAGTGACCCTCCAGTCACCTCATCCTCTGCCATTCCCTTCTCCTTTTGCAGTCGATCATTCCCAGAATCAGGGTCTTCTCCAGTGAGTTGTTCCTTCTCATTAGGTGTCCAAAGTATTTGAGCTTCAGCTTCAACATTTGGCCTTCTAAAGAGCAGTCATTTAGGATCGACTGATTGGATCTCTTTGCAGTCCAAGGGACTCTCCGGAGTCTTCTCCAACACCACAATTCAAAGGCCTCAATTCTTCAGCAGGGTAAAGTTTTTCTGTAAGCAGCCAAATGATATGAGACCGGTGCTATAATTGGGCCTAGGAGAGCTGCTGTGGCTGGATTCAGTGCCCCCCCCCCTACAAAATGACTGTGCTCCACCTTCTGCCTAGAAAATTATGGTCAGGGAGAAGGCTTGGAGCATCTGACAGCCATTTTCTGGAAGCATATCTGGGAAGGGCCAACTGTGTGTCCCCCACCCTGGTGCAGTCCAGAATAGGCTTACCATCTTACCCATGTGATTATTGGCTCTGGACTCAGGTCCATCTTCCTTAAGAAGCCTGTGATGCTAAGGAACTGCTGCCATGCACAATCTCAAATGAAACACCTTTCACAGGTGCCATGTCACACCACCAGCTGTCAGCCATCAAACAGAGAAAAGAAATTGAGTGACATTCATACAGGTAGATGACTGAAGAATCAAAAATGCCCAAACGGATAATTCTCGCTCTCCCCTCCCACTCTGCTCACCTGTTCTGTAGAGTGAGTGCACACATGCACTCACAGGTGTCATCCTGTCTTTCCTCCTCTGTGCATGGGAAAGCAGGTGCTGGACCCGGCTGTCCCTTCATGCACACAGTGAGTGTATGACCTCCTCTTTGGCCCTTCACCATGTGAATCCGCAACCACAGATCCTTCTCGCCACCTTGGGCAATTGCCAAATACAAGGAAGCCAGCAGGAAAGCAGCTTAGTGCAAGTTCCCTGTTGTTCTATCCATAATGGTGAAGCTCAGAGCTGGACTCCATTTACACATTGTAGGAAGAACTACCCTGGGAATAAGCCATGCTGGGACAGGTGTTTGATGAAGAACCCATGGTGTGCCTGATGGATACCTGGGCTTCCTATAGGTGGCTTTCCCCTCCTTTCCTCTCAGAGCAGCAATGGGCCGTTGGATACAGCCCAGTATTTATTTATTTATTATTTAGGGTGTTTGTATGCCGTCCCATCACATAGCCTCGGGACGGCTTACATAAATAAAATAAAACATAATACAGATAAAATCCAGATCCATCCTGTGTCCTTTGCGGTTGCACCCATCTTGTCCTCAATCTGCTTCTCTGATCACTATCCCTGTTCATTCATTTTTATTGTTTTCCAGAGATTCAAAAAGTGCAAAGTCCCTGAAATTGTGCAACTGTTGCTGCTGCTGTTGTCATCAGCTTTTTGCCAGCCCATCCTTGCAGCCATCTGACCCATGTAGCTTTACTGGGCAATGTCCTTCCCTTTTCAGTGGTCAAAGGGAGTAGAGAATGGGAGTGGTCAGTCTGTGTAATCTGTGCACCATCACCAGTAGCCAAGTGGTCAGTCGCAAAGAACTGGTAAAGGGGAAATACATCAGAAAAAGAAGGTGCACCAAAAAGTGTGTGCGTGTCGCAAGGACGGGATCTCTTCCCTTTAGCCGCAGGATTCTCTTGATTTTAAGTCTTGAACTGACACTTTCAGTGTCCTCTACCTTTACAGAAATTCTCCAGCCACTCCAAAAAAGGGAATATTAACTTCAGCTGACTTGTTGCGGTGCTTTGTCGGAGCATTTGCTTACCATGGCAATAACTGCAGCTTCAGGATGGCTTTGCAAAAATACAGAAATTCATGTAAACTGAGTGGCTGGCAAATAAATGGAACGGGTGTTGCTGCCACGTTAAGGTTTGGGAAGTAATGGAGAGAATTTGCTGCTCCTTTGTTAACAGCTCTGTTACCACAGGTTTGGACAGTTCCCGTCCATTTACTTCCCTGCCCTTACATTTCTGCAAATATCTCTCTGTTTACTTCTTAGCCATTAAACTGGTGTACATTCCCCTTCCATTTACTTCCCATTCCAAAAACCACAAATATTTCCAATGGTAGCAAGCAAAGAAACCTCTGTAGGTGGCACAGTACAAGAGAGCAAATGGGTACCAACAACACAGTACAAGAGAGCAACCTGGGGTGCCCCGATCAGTTTGCCCATCACAGTGACCTCTTTGGTGTTTTCTTTCTCAAAGGGCAACAAGAAGCTCTGAAAAGCAGCAATACAAACAGGAGGGAGTTAATATCTTCCCTTCTGGAGTAGCTGGGAGTTGAGCAAGTATAAAGGGGGAAATACTGTACCCCCACTTTTGCTGACCTTGGTTTATTCACGCCGTTTTCCCCTCTGGCAGCTGAAGCAGAAGAATTTGGTCAGGGAAGACTGCATATATCAGACAAGTGAAAGAGCAGGCTATCAAAGATCAAGATCAACGTTTCTGAAGCACCATTTTTTTAAAGATGGGAATAAGCGAGGCTCTTTCCAGAATGCAGCTTCAGCATCAGTGATCGGCTGTCCCTGGCACGATTATGCAAAGGAACGGCACAGGGGTTTTTGGCCACTCACGCTAAGGGGGTTTCTGTGGCCAGTCAGTGCAAACCATAATAGAAATGGTCTCCAGGGCTTGGGTAACATGAGAATCCATCCTGGTCAAGAGCAGTCCTGTCACAAGCTATGAGTAGCTGGGCCTTCTTGCAGGAAATGCTCCAGGGCTGGACAGCACGACAGCCCACCACTGTGAGCCCTGGAGGCCAGGTCCTCGTGAGTCTGCCACACTGAGCACCAGCTGATTCCCTAAGCCAAACCAATGCTTGGCCTGGGGCCACAAGAGGGGCTTGGTGGGTGGCAACTTCACTTGGAGACAGACAAGCTGCTTCTGCCCTCACCTGAGTGTCCTTCCCACCCTCTGTGCTAAGTGGAAGGATTCTCACTTACAACGCGTGACACTCTCCAGTGAAAGCCAAGCTTTTGGGTGAACATTGACAATGGTGTTAAATAAACCAAGCAATATGACACCATGTAGTGATTTCCACTACTGGAGCAAAAAAGAAGTCATACCTTTTTAAGGTGTGGTTTAGACTGCATTGCTCTTAATTGGTGGAATGGCAGTTCTTTGGCCCCAAAGCTCGCACATTCAATTAAAAGAAGAGCCACTGCCCAGGTTGTTGTGCTTTGCGAGGCAGCCACTGGGATTGTGCGCATTCCCATGCACACATTTATTAGCTGGTTCAAGATTAAACATTTAAATCAGACAGCTCCTAGACTAATTGTTTCTCACTTGTGACAAGTAAACAACGGATTGTCTCACACCTTGTCCCCTTGGCATAGAAGTATGGACTTCAAATCTCTCTCTCCCCTTCAATGTCATTGTGATCACTGAGGTGGAAAACACACACACACACACACACACACTCTTGTGATTTAATTTTATTTTATTTTTTGTCTCCTAGGATGGTGGTTGTTACGGAGATCTGTTTTGTAAAGCTTTGAAAACATACAATATGCTTTGCTTTGGAATATACCGATTGAGAGATTTCAATCAAAGCACGCCTAGCCAATGCACCAAGCGGTATGTGCAAGACTTTAGTCTTTTGACCCATCTGTGCATGATCTAATCCCCCTGATGGAATACGCTACTTGTGCAGCAAGTGTGCAGCAAGCCCTCATAGCAACACACAATGCAGCAATTCCAGCGTGAGGCCCAACCACGGGTCATGTTCCTTAGCTGGATGCCATGGAGAGCCAACCCTCAGAGGAGCTCCAGTTCTTTGTGCCCTCAGAATGGCCTTCATTGCCCCCTCATGCAACAGTGTGCGAGGAAACAGAAAGCACAATCACTAGAAACAATGCCATTTTTGTCCGGAAAAGCAAATGTTTACCGTGCAAATGCAGATTTCAGATTTCCCCATCTTTTTTGTTGCGGGGAAGATGCGGCTGCATGTTGAAGAAAATGCAGAGCCGATGTCTGTGCACAAGCAATCCATTTTGCTCTCCTTTAGGATGGAAGTGGTGGAAGCGTTTGGACGCATGCAGCCCAATCCTGTGCATGTTTTCTTGGACGGTTCACCTTAATTAGAGGTCTTCTAACTGTACAGAGGACTGTGCTCTGTTACTCAGAAAATTCTCACACACAGTTCAGTCCTTTCTAAAAGTGCCCCTTGGGTGGCGCCCCAATTGTAGAATTCGCTCCCCAGGAGGCCTGGTGACATCACTGTATTCTTTTCAGTGCCAGGCTAAAACCATTTTATTTTCCCAATGTTTTCAGATCTGATTGTTTTCACTGGGGTTTTACCTTTAGTTGAATTTTTAGGACTCTGTGTTTTATTTTACACTTTGTATTGTAAAAGCGTCCCGAGACATCAGTAAGGGATGGGGTAAAAAATTTTAAATAGATAAATAAACCACATTAAGAACGAAAAATCTGTGGGCGAGCGTAAATGACGGTGAACGTGATGCTTTTCTCCCCATCACTTGCCCTTGCTCCTGCCTGCTTCCCACCCAAACATCAAAACAGAGGAAGTTGTGGCATGGCTTGGAGGGGGGTACCTTGCAGGAGCAGATTCCCACCCCCCAGCCTATTTTGATCCTGTTATAAATAAGCAAGCAGCCGCCATGAGATGAGCACTGAATTCGCTCCCCACTATTGATTTAGCGAGTCCGAAAAGCAGATCCCACTCAATTTGCCCACCACGCAAACCACAAGGACCACTTCCCATCAGAGCTGCCAAGGTGAGTGAGACGCTGGAGGGCCTTTTTGCTGGGAAGCTGTCTGTGCCCAAGATGCTGCTCAGAGGCCCAGCTCTGGGTGCCTCCATTGTCAGAAATGAGACACAGAGTGGCTGGAGATGGTCCTTTCCTTTGGTGGCACTTAGGCTCTGGAAGTCCCTCCAGAGAGATGTTGGTTTTTCTCCTTCCCTTCTTTTGCAGCATCAGGTAAAACTGTTTGTACTTGGTTGGGCTATTGAAGTGGGAAGGGTAATGTTGGTGTTAAATGCAAGCAGGGTTTTATCTGATATTCTCAGTGTTGAAATATTAAACTACTGCTGTTTTAATCTTGAAGTGCCCCATGTGCATTTCAGCAGGAGGATGTGATACAAATAGCTTAAACAAACAAAATAAATGAACAAATGACTAGTAACCACAAACAGGATCACCCATTTCTGCTTTGCTTTTAACATTTTTCTGCCCTCGAGCTGAGCCATGGAGTTAAACCTTGTCTCCAAAAGTCTCACCAGTTCTCAGGTTAGCAAATGAGATAAGACAAGAGGCTGAAAGAAAATGGAGATGAGGTCAGGGAAGAGTAGGGATGAGAAAAGGAAATTAGGGAAAAGGCAACACTGAAAGTGAAATAAACAAGGAGAAAGGCTTAGGATGCAAACCACAACAACAGAATACAAATAGGAAGCTCTGGTTTTTGCAGACCAAAAGAGCTCCAGCTTGTGGGACAAGCTTGCTTTCTCCCACCCCATGGGGCAGGGCAGAAACCTGTATTCCAGCATGGGATCTCATTTTCAATTACTTCAGAGTGGGCTGGTCAGCTGCCCATAGATGCAATATTTAATTTTTAGGGAAAGTGATGGGTTTTGAAAAATCTCACACCAATCAGAAGGGCAAAGTTGGAACAGCAAGTTAATCCTCCCAGTTCCTGCCTGGATCACTGGGGAACTTTGGGTGACAAGGGGCACCCTCCCCATATTTGCTGCCATGGTTGGGGTACATGGGGGGATGGCATTTGAAATCCATCCCAGGTGACTAATAGACTACATTTAGAGTTTACAGGGAACAGCAATCAACGAAAAGTGAAGTGTAACAATAGACAAAAGATCAGCAGTTCTACCAATCAAGGCAGTCCCATCTCTAGCTCTGCCAGCTGAATTCAGAATGATTTTATCCCACTTTGGTCAAGGAACTAGCATTTCATCAGACAGACAATGCGTATTTTATACTTGAAGCTTAACAAAGCACGGGTTCCTACTTCATGTGGACAAAATGCAGCAAGGAGGCTCCTTGAAATCTCACCTTCAGGGCCTCGCCCTGCCCGAGCCAGTGCCCAGTAGATAGAAATCTTTGAGGACAGTGTGGACTGCAAAAGTACAAGGAAGAAGTCCAAGGACAGATGTAGGCCATCTCAGTGTTGCTCGCTGTATCATGTGGAACGGGCTGCGACTCCATTTCGTCACTCGTGTTAGTGCAAACCTCCTATTCCTAAATGTGCTCACGATGAACAGACATCTGCTTTTGGTGGCTCAGGAGATGCACAAGGCTCCTGAGAAGTTTCATTTGTCTTATTGACAAACTCAGAGCCTGTTTTGACCTCAGATTTGCTTGTCAGTGAAAGATGGTGAATGCTGGAGATTTGTAGAAGACACTTGAAAAATGGTGGCTTTATTTAAGATATTTTCCCTTAAAATTCTGTAGACATTTCGCCTGGGGTGGATTTGAAGAGCAGGGCCCAGGTAATTACTCCACCCAGGTCATTGTGAGCCTTCACAACGGTGCTGAGGAGAGCTGGATCCACCTCACTTGTGGAACCATTCCACGGGCCGCTAGCTGTGGTCCAACCGAGGGCTCTTTCTACACCTTCTGCGCAGGCAGACCAATCGGATAGCATGCTGACGTGCAGCTTGGGAAGAGGCGACCTGGAGGAAGGGAAATAAGACTGCTGTTCTTCCTCTTTTCCAGTTTTGTTATAGCCAACCCACCGTATGAGTTTGAGCTCGTGCCGACCGACTGGATCTTCTGTCTGATGCAGTATGATCACAATGCGGGTCAGTCCCGGGCCAGTCTCTCCCATTCTTCCCATTCGTCCTACACGTCCAGCAAGAAAAGCTCGTCGGTTCATTCTATCCCGGCCACGGCAAACCGCCAGAACCGCACAAAGACCAGGGACTCCCGGGAAAAGCAGAAGTACGTGCAAGAAGACAGACTTTGATCTGTGTGCCCACTCCCACTGTGTGTGAAGCTTTCTGCAGCACCCATTCCCTCCCGATTGGTGTGTCCAGTAATAGCTTTCCCTGTTCTCCCCAGCCTTCCCCATGGAGTGCCCATTTTTATATACATTTTGCATATGTATAACAGTGTGCATGTGACTGTCATTTTTATTTCAATACCATGAAACCCTTAAGCACAACAGCAACGAAGCAGACGGACCAAACATGGCTTACGATACGGAGCAGGTGGGAAAGAGTTAACAGCAGATGGGACTGCCATAAATGCTCTGCTTCTCCGAGTTTAGAGCAAGTGCAGTGCAAAGCATTGGCCTGGTATCAGGTACCAAAAAGAAGCTATTAATGTAAGGGTAGTGTTGCAAAGGGGGTATTTACCTAGGGGGTAAATTCATGTACCTGAAATTAGGGGTTCCACCCATGGGCTAGTTTTCTAAGAATCAGGTAAAGGTACTGTGGGAGAGCTTGAAACACCCTGTGCCTTGCACCTTTTTGTACAATTTTCTGCACCTGCTTTTATACCAAAGCAATATCAGGGTCTCTCCTGCACACAGGACTTTTAAAAAATTCTCTAGTAGAACGAGTGCCTTCTTCCCTTTAATGTAGAAGTACTAAAAATGGCCAGACATGTAGTTCTCGAATTCTTAATGATTTAACCTTTTTTACGGTACTAATTGCATATTAAATTCTGTCTATACTGCCACATGAATAACTATATTTTCTCTCACTTTTGACATTTGGGATGAAAAGCCATGTGCATCATAAATATTGAATGCAACTCATTAGATTCTTCCTTTGTGAGACGTTTACATCTATTAAAAGGTGAATTAGTCACCTTATGTTCAGAATGAATGGGTAAAATCCTTCCCCACCTACTGAAGGATCACTCATAATACTCAGAAAAGAGCAAGTAGTTTTCCTTGTTTAAGTAGCCACCCTCAGGGGCTTCTTCCCACTCCAACAGTTAAATTCTGTACCATTAAAACCTTCACAAAGAACTTACATATATACGCTCCAGAAACTCTAGGGTCATTTTAGCTAGTATGTTTAGTAACTGTACCTGGCACAACAGCCTTTTTTATATTTTTCATATTATCTGCTGAACTGAAAGACAATGTGCTGCTTTTGAGAAGATTTAAAGAACCCCCAGAGTAGCTCCTGTGCCATTTGCGTGTATCCATGTATTCCTCCAAGGGATGGCCTGCTTCCACCACCTGAGAACCGTTGTGTTTCCCAAACTGTTCACACTTGGGACACTGTTTGTTTATTTGTCTGTTTCTAGATTGAAATCTGATAACCGCTTCACATTCTCACTCAGAATGGTAGTTGTGTCCCGTTGTTCCCCAGCGATAGCTCTGTCACGGGTCCTCTTGGATGCTAGAGATGGCAGTGCGATTTGTCGGCCTCATGGATTCCCCCATGCACTCCACCTGCATTGCAGCTTGCGGGGACCTGTGGCATGTCCCATCTCTTGGGATGCATGCAGGGCCTGCAGGGGGGGACAGCATGCCACACACAGACCCTCCTCCACCAGACACAGAGCAGTGGATGCAACCGACACAGGGGCCGCATGGCCCAGAGCAAGTGTCGGGGCCACTGACAGCGTTTTGGACCGCTCACCAAAACAGTTTGGGAATCACGGCTAGTCACAAAGACCTCTGAATTCACATCTTGCAGCCTTCTGCAAAGACCTCTGAATTCACATCTTACAGCCTTCCGCACATGGTCGAGCTCTGAAGTTCATTTACTTGCGAGCAAATATTCAGGTAAACGTGGTCCATGGCAGATCGTTCGGTGTGGTTCAGAGGAATGGAATCAGGCTGGACTGCCCAAGGAAGATTGCAGGTTTCTAAATGATCAGGCTCAGACCTCGTGTCCCTGCCAATCTTCTGTATCCACGGCAGGCGGCTAGTTCCTTGCACCCTCCGTCCCCTACCTTACCCCTACCCTTTAGATAAGTAGCTAGCTGGTTGCCTGGCATGTGCTCTTTGTTTTAGAAAGTCTATTGGGGAAGGGGGGGCCTCGTTACTACCCTCCCCCTCCAGAAAGCATGATGATAGAAGCTTGCTGTGTGAACGGAAAATGAAGCCAAGCACTTTTACTGACAACCTCTGGTCTGGTACAATGCAGGCTACGCAAAAGCCTCTTCTGCGTACTGATCACAGTGATTGGAAGCTCCTCTTCATCTATCCTGAAGGGTGACTGTCAGTTGGTATCCCCAGAAAATATTTCAGATTAATTCCGCCCCTCCCTCCACCCATCCAAAACTGCTCTCCTAGCCCCTGACCGTGGAAATAAATTCATGCACTTTTGCAAAAGAAGGTCCTGATGTTTGCCATCAGGGATTTTCTAACACACACCAAGGATGTGCCAGTTAAAGTGCTCAACGGGACGTGTGACAGTTTAAAAGCCTTGTAAAACTTACATAGCTTACTTCTCTTCCTAAAGTGCGACAAGGATGAATAGAATGGGCCAAGGTATGACAATTGATGGTTCTGCATGAGCTAGAAAACTGCTGTGGGGTTTTCCTTCTATAACTTTGTCCTTGTGGAAACTTGTGACACATTAAAAACCACGTTACCAAACTTGATTCAGTTATTCAGTTTGTTTGTTTTTTATTTTTTAATTTTGGATTTGTTGTACTTTTATTACTTTTGCTTTATTTCTAAACCCAGAGTAAGCTGCTGCTGCTGCCGCTGCTGCTGCTGTCGCCGCTCAACTCCCATTTGTGATCCCTTCTGCTTTTAAACCCTTTCATGTGCTTGCATTTCCAACTGCACGTCACACGTCCTCCTACTGAGCACCTAGATACTCACGGAGTGAAACTGTATTCCTGGCGGTTTATTTGAGCACACATGCGGGGATGGGGGAATCCACGTGCTCCTTGGCTACCGAACCTGCGTTTCCGTTTATGCCGTATCTGATTCCTTTGACGAAGGAGGGGATGTTGACATGAAAGCAGCTGCCACATGCATTTGATAGGAAAATACAGACCTGTCTGTTCAAAATGAAGCAAAAATGATCATGTGTTGGCATTAGAAAATGTCCAGAAACTGTCCTACATTTAGGGCTTGATCTTGCAAATACTCTTGCTGTAGAACGTGGCTGGATTTTCCCTGTCACCGAGGTCTGGCACAGAAAGATACATGCACCTTAGACTGGGCATGCTAGATCGTATCAGTTGCCCATCATCTTCTTTTATGTGGCTTTCAATAGTTAAGCAGGCAACTTTAATAGAAATGGCCTGCAGGGGTTGTTGGTTGGTTTGCACATTTGGAATCCTTGTCTTTGCATAAAGGTCCAAGTCTTTATAAAATGTTTAGCATAACATAAAACAACTGTGAACATGATATGACGGGACACACACATGGTTCTCTCTCCATAGTCATCTTTCCCTCATTTGAAATGCTATTTGTCATATAGATCTTTAAGTAATTTGGATTGTAATCTTAGATGCTCTGGATGAATAGTTTTGTGGGCTATAGTCCATACACGTCAAAGAATATTAAGATTCAGTGACGCTTAGAATTTCTATACCACTTTCTTGGTAATACACAAAAGCTCCTGTGAGGTAGAGCAACATTATTATCCCAGTTCACTAGAAGCCAATGCAAGTGCATATATTCTTCCTATAAAATTTGAGAGGAAATTCAGGCAGCTGCAGTGTATGCATCCTTCAAAACTGAACAAAACCGCATTTCCTTCCAAGAGGGTCATGAGATGTTGCCTTCACTCCGGGTGGTTTTCATTTGCCCACTGTGGCAGTGTCAAATTGCTAGATCTGATTGGCTGCATAGGTACTTGCTTACGCCTGGGCAAGGATACCCCTTTGGGGAAAAAAAGGGTGCCCAGAAGCTGTAAAGCTGCTCCAATCCAGTGAGAAAGAGGCAAACATTCAGGGAATTCTGAAGGAACATGCTTCTCCTCCCGAAAATGTTCCACTTTGAATGTTTTGCCCTAGGCCTAGCTTCCATTTCTGAAAATTCAGAAAACGCTGAGCTCTGTTCACGGAGCAGGGCATGTCGAATGGAAGCCTGGGCTAGAGATGTGCATTTTCCTCTCCGCATTGGAGATGCATCCAGCAAAGTTTAGCGTGGCTCAGATGAGCACTGTAAGTGGCATCCAGATCTGTGTCTCCTCCCTGCTCATGCACGTCGATTTCCCTTGCAGGACTGGGGTATTTATGGTTAGATCAGAGTTTTCCCAGTTTAGGATTAAACCAGCTGTGAATGTGGCAAGCTGCATTTTGTCCCTCAGCCCAAAGCCAAACGTTCCTCTAGAAAAGAGGAGGAGTGACTATCATTGAGATCGGTGTCCCATTTAGGGGAGTCGGCTACTAACAGTAGGAAAACCCTCGAGTGAAACTCTATTTTGTTTTGAAAGGCCTCACATCTTTTCATGCCACCTCGGTGGAACCTTTTGACTAAAGGGTGGGACACAATTCTTATAAACAAACTAATCTTGCTGTCTTCACTTTAGTTGGTAATTTGACCCAATGTCCACAAAGGAGCTACCAAGAATGGCTCATCTTGAGCAATCTTGACCACTGATTCGTTGGTAGAAAGACAGGGAATAAGCACATAATAAATAAATAATTGTTCTGCTCATAAATAGGTTTATGGCTACTCTTACATACTAAAGAGCAGGACATTAATTCATCCTTCGTAGCACTGGAATACCAATACCATTGAATGGAAAAATCAAGTGAGGAAAGAATTCAGGACATACGTTTGAGTCCCAAAATGAGTAGTGCTAAAGGTAAATGGTAGTGTTCTTGAGCTAGTTAGTTAATGAGGTTCCCACAAGAGAATTTCCCAGTAGATTTGGGTAATCTCAAAGAAATATTACTTTATTTTGCTGCACAATAATTGGCATCAGAATGAAAATACAACTGCCATTGCCATTTTTCTGTTTGTTGCAAATAGTTTGGAATTCAGTAGTGATAACACCAGATTTTGCTTTAAGCAAAATTAGGTCTAGTTCAGGCAAAATATCAGAGGAATTACACAGGCAGTGAAAAGAATGTTGATAATTCCAGCAACACATCGTCGGAAGGTTTTGGATGTCCCTAAAATTTAGGCCATGAAAATAACCATTCATCCATTTCAAGGCAGTTCATACTACTTCCACATGCTTTATATCAATATTCCAGCCTGATTGACAGACAGAAACTCAAGCAAAGGCAAAATGTGTGCTTCTTTAGGCTGAAAATCCCAATCCCGGGTCTCATTGTCCCTTTTAGGAAGGGAGTGGAGAGCCTACTTACGTGAGCATCACAGTGAAATCTCCAGCCACACTCAGGCTTCAGGCTTCTTCCCCCAACGGCTTCTTCATGTGAAACACTGTTTGTAAAGTAGTGTCCTAATGATGAAAGAGAGAGCAGTAGGAAGTATACATACTTCATTTCTCCAAATTCATTTGAATACAAAGCATTTGAAAAACATTTAGTTTGAAACAGTTTGTGTGACCTTGCAAGGCTTTTAAAACATGAGAAGCATCACATTTTAATACCTCTGAAATGTTAGATTAACTGTAGATCATACAAAATTGGTTTTCACAAATGCACAGTACCTCATGTGTCAGACTTGAACTAAATGGCTTTTAAATGGAACTAAAATTATTTGGATGTGTACACATTTCCCAGAATTGTTTTTCCCCACAACCTTTCTGAATTCAGCCCACCAGAAGCCTTTTCCCTTAGAGCCTCATTAACAATTCAGATGTTCTGATGACTTTAAAAGATCTATGACTATATATGTGTAAAACCCAGCTTGATAAAAAAGATAAATGAATATAGAAAGGAGCTGTTGGAGTCTGGCAAGCTGTAGATCATCTTAGAACAGATTGTAACTTTATCATTTTGTCAGGAAGAATAATTTAAGGCACTTAATCAGTTAGCTTTGCAGTATAGGATTTACCGTTATGAATTCCTATCAGCCAATCTGTTCAAATCAGGCCCAACTTAATTAGAGAGTGAAAAATTCACAATCAAACAAGCTTTCTTAAGGGGGGCAGCACAGCCTTTTTTGAACAAGAATATTTAAAGCTGAAGTAAAAATCTATTCATTTGTCATTCCTTGATTTGCAGGACACTTCAAAGTTAAGTAAAAAGTTTCCACAACAACACAAAATTGTGCGTGACAAGCTGCTAAGTGAATAAAAACTCTGTGTATCAACTGATTCTTAACATGCACACTGAAATTGGACGCCTCACAAAAAGAATGCACACACTGGACTTTGGGCCCATTTCCAAGGAATACTCAGTAGGGAGTTACAGCAGGGTTTGGGCAGTGTGTGTGGAAATCGTGCCATTGCTGTGGATCCCAACGCAGTAATTCACCCAAACACAATGATCTGTGTAATGCTTCCAAAGAAATCACATCCCGATTCTACAAGCCAGTGGTGGGAAAGGGTTGGGAATGTTGGGAAATGGCTCCCTGTGGGACGAAGTCTATATTTCAGAATATTAGCCAGGATCATTGTGGTAACGCTGGACTCACACTGGAGAGGAAGAGAAACACCCAGCTCCTCCTCCTCGCCAGGGTGCTCATAATTTGTCACATCTCGATCCCTTGGGAATTCTTTCCTAGCCACACAAGCCATGCCCGTAAATAGATGCACCATCTTGCCTGCCACTTCCCTGCTTCCGGGTTCAGACAAATCAGTCTGTCTCTGGTCTATGTCACGTTTGCACATGTTTGTCTATTGCACTCTCACAGTAATCTGTGTATTGTTTCAATCCACACAAAATGCCACCTTTTAAAACACCCATTCTTAAAATACACTTTTAAACAGGCATTTTGATCATTTCATTGAGCTAAGAATGCATTAGAATATTTGGGAAGTACAGAATTGATTGATTAAAACAATCCTAGCCTACACATTCATCCAAAAAATGCAGATCAAGTCGATTTATGCTGGAACACCTGAACATCAAGTTCCTTAGGCATCCCTATTCCAAACTTTTGCAAAATTGGTCAGCTTTATGATGTGCAACTGGTTGTTTCATAACTGTAGCACAGGGAAGAAGTAGGTGTAGATAGCAGTTCTTCTGAATGAAAACATCAGAATATGGAATAGCCCAATTCTAGGGGTATTTGTAAAAACTGCATGCAAAATTCAGCTCCAGTTAAAATGGCACACTTTTTAATTTTGCCATTCAGATTCTGAACTTCACATCTGAAATATAAATCCATGTGGATTTGATTTTGGCAGGCATCAAGTGCATTAGTTATCATGTCATGTGTGGAGTTCTACTGCATGCCATGTACCAAATCTTGATCGAGACGGCAAGTCGGCTATCAACTATGGCCATTTCATTTCAACTCCCAAATGACATTGCATGTTATTTTGCTAATACTATCTGATAATAAATCCCTCCACAGGTCAGTTATCAAATACTGCCAAGTGCAGAATATTAGATTTCTAAAATGAAACGTCGAATGCGGAAACCTGGTCCCACCACATATGAAAAACAGATAACCAAATATACTGGAAATCCTTGACACTGAAATTCTCAGTGCAGACTTTTCAAGCAAATCTATCCCAGTGAATTCTTTTTGACTCTAATCCTAAGCCGTGTGGACAAACTTTCCTCAAAGTTGATCATAAGGCACGTCCCTAATTGCACTGAAAAGCAGCCCTTCCAACACCCCATGTCAAAGGATGTAATCACCTTCCATAAATAAGTCACCTGCCAGTTCTTTTGAACCCTCCATTCACAAACCTGCAAACCTTCCATACTTCCTTCCAAATGGTGTGTTTTCAGGTGTATACAGACTACAACACTCCACTGCTAGCCATTATTCAAAGTTGCTTTCTGTTGACTGCTTTTTAAAGAGCTTAAATGGACTTTGCTCAACTGCTTTTGGCATGGCACTAATTGAACTTTTCGTTTTCCTCCTCCCTTGTTCTGTCCCGTTTTGCTCTTCAGCAGAAAAGAAATGGTTTACAGATGAACCGGACAATGCTTACCCCCGGAACATTCAAATCAAGCCCATGAGCACACACATGGCCAATCAGATCAATCAGTATAAATCTACAAGCAGCCTGATACCGCCAATCAGAGAAGTTGAAGACGAATGTTGACTCACAGAAGCCAGAACTTTTTTTTAAACAAGAGAAAAACCTGACAGACTTCATGAATGGTGATGTGACATTTATTCCTTTTTCGTGGAGAGGTTAAGGAAAGGCAAATGTTGCCAGTAAGCAAAGTAGGCAGATCTTTCTGTGTCTGCCTTTAATATTTGCTTCCATGTATTTTGGAAAATATTTCATTTATAAAAGAACATAATCAAAGCAGTCATGTATAGCCTTTAGTGTTTTAAATTATTTTTATTTATTAGAAAAAAATATATTTTTTCTTTCTTTCATTGTCAAGTATTTTTCCCTTAACAAAACAGCTGCAAAGGTGGCTAGACTCCAACAAAAATAATAATAATAAAAGATATATATTCCTGCTCCTTTCTGTGTCTTGTAGGAGAATGATGGCCACAACTCAAAGCAAAAATGTAATTAAGAGAGACAAATAATGTATTTTAAAAAAGGTCCACTTGTATTTTAGTAAATCAAAGAAGAAGAAAAAAGAAGAGTTTACTAGAATGTTTCTTTCCTGGAAGACGTGTATTTTGTTTAGCATTGACACCAGCTCTTAATAAACTGAAGCATATTTATTTTGAAAAAGTGGAAACGTCATATTTTTGTAAAAGTAACATGATTTGCGAATTGCCCACCTGTTTACCACCATAGTTACTATGCATGTTCATGCAGAGCATCTTCCTCACAGGTAAAAACAGTGTCCAGCATAACATAAAAAGGGTAACAGGCAGTGGCAATAACGCAAAACAAAAGGGTGGCATGTAAGAGAGACACAGGACCTTCCAGGGAGGTGAGGATGCGTGGCAGAGCCCCTTCTTTGCGTCATGTTGACGATTATCAACATGTCTCCATGTGAAGGGCCAGCTTGTCCAGAACGAAGCTGATAACGCCTCGGATCATGATCGTTTGCCGCATGATCTGTGTTTAGCTGAAGAAACACAGAAGGACCTTGCTGTCGTACGCGGGAAGGCGGAAAAACGGATCTCCATAGCACCACTTCCCATTGCCCTCCTGTGCTAGTAAAGGCTGAGAACCCCTTTCCGTCGTGACACACGCAGATACAAAGCGAGCTCCAGCTGTGATGCCAACCACCCCCGTGGTTCAGACTCCGCTCATCCTATGCTACGGTCACCTAATTTTCATGGGGTTCTCTATGTGTTAGAAAGTAACTTTTAATTTCCAAGCTTTGGGGACTCTTCCCATAGAGGTTACACCAAAATAAGCATAAACGTAGTAACAAAGAATAATGAATGTATTTAATCTAACATACACAGGGCCTTTAGCGAAGGCCTACAGCTCCGTCCGAGATTTGTTTCACAAAATGGCCAACCCGCTTCCTAGCCATCAGACCAAATTGTGATGTTCCCTGTCTGTGCTGCAGTATATAGTCACCCCAGCATCTGAGACGCTAAATAATTTAGTAGCACTCTCCAGTTTAAATTGCCAACCGCTGATCTAGAGAAAACTGGGGCAAATGATCTCCTGAAGAGGAAGGGGACCGTACGGCTGAGGCAAAACTTGATGTTGGGTCCCACTCCACAGGCTAATTTTAGGCTTTGTAATTGTGCAAAGTTGTAAAAATGCAGAAATTAAACATTCCGTGACATTGTTATCATTAGAGTAATATCAGTGAATCAAACAAGTCCTGAGCAGATCAAGGTGTCCACTATATAACCCGATATTTTAAGCTAAAACTATCTCAGCTTTAATGTCTGTCTACTGGCTGCAGTACAAATATATTCATATTTACACCTAATACGCTTAATTCCAGAGTGACTTCTTGGACTGTGACTTCTTTGTCATTATGTTTTGTAGAAATAGCTATTCAAAAGAGGGGGGAAATAAGAACTGTGATTACAATGTATGGAAAATTGGAATGTTTATCAAAACTACTTATTTCACTACTTTCCTAAAAATGAACAGTGGTTTTATTGACCCATAGCACAACACCCAAAGGGTGGGCTCTAGCTTGGAGAGATCTTAATACTGTAAATCTGTGGGAAGTCTGCAATTTGTCTTCTGGATTTTGAATTTGATCAGTTAAAACTATTTCGTCAAAGGGCACAGTCCACCAAGAATGTTTGTGACAGCCCCATCACAACCTGTGGTCGTTGTGCCCAAGTCTGTACTCCTTTTTCATTCATGAACTGCAAGACATAACAGTACAGTCTGTTTTGGTGTCGAGTGAGTAATTCAATTTCAGTCAAAATATATTGGATTTTTAGGCTATTTTCTCAGATAGCAAAGCACAGAAAATGGTACAA